GGGAATAGTTCTTGCAGCAGGGATTTGTTTCCTCTTTTGAGCTATTGCATTCATAGGTGTAGGTCCTGTTTATCGAATTGTATCAGATGACGCTTTTTTTCTTCTTCTTTCTTCTTCGGGCTGTATGTTTTTATGGGAACAAAACGCCTAGTCTTTCTCCCATAGAAGCTAGTGGGTTTGAACTGGCAGCCTTGCAGTTAGCAGTAAAGCACTTATCCTACAGCATCACAAGAATCTTTAAGTAGGCATGTATGTGAATAAAAATAATAATTAACTCACCTGTACTATCTACAGGAAATTTGGAAGACAACTACCTGACCAACCAATTGGAAAATATCTGTATTTGTGCTCATTCCAAATAGAGGTACCCCAAAGAAACATGAAAATCATGGAACAATATCATTAATATCATATGAAAGTAAAATTTTGCTGAAGATAATTTAAAAATGCCTGCAATAGTGCATTAACAGGAAACTGCCAAAAGCTTCAACTGGATTCAGAAGAAAATGCAGAACTAGGGATATCATTGCAAATGTCAGATGTATCTTGGATGAAAGCAGAGAATACAAGAAAGATATTTAGTTGTGTTTTATTGACTATGCAAAGACATTTGACTGTGAGGATTATGACAAACTATGGGTAACATTGCCAAAAATGGGTATTCCAGAACACTTGATGTGCTTATGAGGAACCTATACATAAACCAAGAGGCAGTCGGTAGACCAAGACAAGGGGATACTGAATGGGTTAGAATCAGGAAAGGGGTGTGCCAGGACTGTATTCCTTCACCATACTTATTCGGTATGCTGAGCAAATATTCTGAAAAGCTGGATTATATGAAAAAGAGTATGGAAAAGGACTCCACTAACAACCTGGACTGCCAGAAGAACAGGTCAGTGTTGAAAGTGGTACAACCAGAATACTCACTGGAGGCAAGGATGTCGAGACTTCATCAGACTTAAGGCATATTGTCAGGAAGTACCAATACATGGAGAAGGACATTATGCTTGGTAAATTGGAGGGTAAGCAAAAAAGAGGAAGACCCCCAATGAGATGAAATGACACAGTGGTGACAGCAATGGGTTCAAGTATAACAATTGTGAGAATGGCTCAGTACTGAGAAGTGTTTCATTTTGTTGTTTGGGGTTGCTATGATTTGTAATTCATACAATGGCACCTAACAACAAGTATCTACTGTGTCTATCTTAGAAACAGAGAATGTGCCTCGTTAGCCTTATTAATTACAGTTTTCCAAAAAATATAAATATTAGCCATTTATAATCTGCTGATAAAGTGAACAAAATGGAAATCTAGGAACCCTAGATTTGATAATATTTATTTTTAAAGTATACAAATCTACCATATAATAAATCTTCACAATGTTATTCATAATTCTTTATGATCCACACAATCAAATGCCCTTGTATAATCAATAAAACAGAGGTGAAAATCTTTTTGGTATATTCAGCTTTCAGCCAAGATCCATTTGTCATCAACAATACTATCCCTTATTCATAGACCTCTTCTGAATCTTACTTAAATTTTTATCAACTCCCTGTCATTCTACTGTTGCAACCAGGTTTTAATTATCTTCATCAAAATGTTACTTTTTT